ACAAATGAACCTAACTGTGGACCTGGGATATACATTTTACCTACGGAGATGTTTCGAATATCTGAGACGGAGGCTAGGCTACCCATCGTCAACAAAGGGAACAGGCAACTGGTATCTAAGCACCAGTCTACAGGTCTGACCTGTGTTATAGCAAAGACACCAGAAACTATTTTAGAGGTTGACCGAATCTCTTGTTCAGCAACTTCTAACTTATTTATTATCGCGTACCAAAAAAAAGCAAAAGCCAATATTTGATCGTCCAAACTACGTGATATGTTTCGGGACCAAAACAAGCCGTCAGACAAACGCTTAGCTAGCTACTGATCGTGCACATGACACGACGGGGTACCAAATGGCGGGGATGCTTGACCGAAAGCCTTCAGCTAAACAAGTCGACTTAAACAGTGGTGGTCAGCATCCAATGAGTGATTGCTGTGGTCAATAATTTTGGGGAATTATTTACCAATACACTATCATTAGGCATCAGCTATTAGCCCACATTTTGAAACATGGCTTACTGGCGGAGGAAAGACATAGATTCCAACCAGGATGATCCCGCCTAGCAAACTTATTGTAAGCTAGGGGAGGTTGGGTAGAAGCTTGGATGCTGTTTCTATTGATATTGGTGAAGAATTCGGTAATGTATCCCATTTGGATTTCGTTCGTAAACTAAGAGGTTTCGGACTGAACCAGTGCCAACGTGAGTGGTTTAGAGACTTCCTAAGTTATAGAAGGTAGAGATTAGTGGTACATCGTCATGGTGGAAAGCCATATTGAGTGGAGTATCTTGGGAAACTACGCTAGGTCCCCAGCTATTCTCGTTGTACTTGAGTGGACTACCGAAATTTATTAACTCATCTTCATTATCATTTGCGGACGAGCACAAACTATTGCTCACAATCATATCAAGCACTTGATGTGATTATGAGAAATAGTTTGTACTCGAAACATCATTAGTTAATATTACTGTATAACACTGTGTTATTTATCAAAATGAAATCATTATCCATAATGGAGTTATACTCTACCACAGCGCCCAAGTTTTGTACTTATAGACATTTCAACTGTGGTAAAAAAATGCAGTTCTTATCAGGACGCACTACCGAGTCACGAGCTTTTTTACTTCAAGCTCGTTAATTAGTACTTAAATGTCAGGTAGAGTACTGATTAAGATAATAAGAGGAGAAGTCTTCAGTAAGTGCGGTTAATTAAATTCCACTCTAATTGCAACCAGTTACCTACAAATCAATGAAATGCGGAAAAGGAAAGGAGAAACTGAGTTCACTACAAAACACTGAATAAAGAAGAGAATAAGGATGCTAGGATAGACAAAAGACAATCCTACAACACACTGACAAATGAAGCTGAATGGGCCTCAGATGACTGAAATAGACAAACAGGTCGTTAACCGGAAAAAATCAACAGAGGTGAAGCCAATGAAAGGTAACGAAGGGAATGTTATTACTGAAGAGAGGAAATAATGGTTCACCACTTAAAAGGAATATTCAATCGAATGCCAAATACAACTCATTCAAAAATACCATAAACAACTATGGGAGCGCAAGTGGACACCCATCCTCCGATGAAAGTAGAAGTCATGAATACCGTAAAGTTAACGTAAAACAGAAAAGCAGCAGGATCAGACGGAATTCATCCAGAAGCACTAGAAACGGACCCAGTGACCTCAGTCGGCATGCTTATGCTACTACTACAGAAGATGAGGGAGGGAGGAGATTTAACTACAGATTTGAAGAAGGGCGACTTAAGCCTTTGCAAGAACTGGTGCAGGCGTCATCAAGGGCACTTCCAACAGGTTACTGAAAACTCTAATCAATCTTTTCCTCCTTGATAGCGAAGAAGAGATGGCTGGTCAGAAAGGACAAGTAACAAGGGATTCTAGCAACGAACCAACCATGAACCTACCGCCTAACAAATGTGCAGGAAATGGAGATGAATCGGACTCACGCTGTTGAGACCGTTAAGTGACACCACTCGCCAGGCTGTCGAGTGCAAAGAAAGTAGAAAACGACGACATGAGCTTCCGGAGTTAAGATGCAGGAGTACGTGTGAGTAGGAGATAGAAGCCTGTGAGCTGTCATCGAGTCACAAGTCACATAATACGGACCCATTTTCACAGATTGGCTCAGATCACAACCTATTTCTAGATGACACCAACTTCTAGCATACCTATCCCATTAGTGGTATGCGGCGTTCTCTCTATCACTCAGTTTTATACTTGAATAGTTCACACTACTGTGTCACTCCTTACGATTTGGTAGTGATTGCAAACGTCATGTGAAACAGGTTGATTTAAGTAACCGGTTGGAACCTACTTATGTAGCTTAGTATCAAACGAAGCTAGAAGTACTTCGTGAACACCGATTGAAATTACAAGGCACCCCAGGGGTGGTGAGTGAAGTTGCTTAGAAGAAAGCCCAGTTATAAACTTACAATCATAAAAATTATTAAACGCCATTTGAGTTATAGTAGATTGTGAAATAAATTATGTGTTTACAACCGCACTTACGTTTATCGTTTTAGGCTGTTGTCAGCTAACGTAAAGTAATGAACTAAAAAATGAGCCGTTTTTGTCCCGCAATTATGTTCATCCTTGGTTTTTTCAAACTAGTCAAGGGAACTGGGTGCGTGAATTAAATTTTACACTAGAGGAATTGATAGTGTTGACGTATATTGCTATCAGTAAACCAATAGTGAGAATTTTCTTGTATTTGTTTGGATGTCATGTTCGTTTCCTTGCAAAAACGATTTTTCAGACATCAAATTGTGCTGCACAGATTTTATTCTTCTATTTCGATAAAGCATTCAGCAAACAAATACTGCTAAGTGAAGCATTTTTGTGGTTTCTCTTCAGCTGTCTTACGACTGGCATAGTTGTGCGTCGGTGGTACAGTGGTTAGGGCTCTCACCGACCATGCACATGGTCCGGGGTTCGATCCCTTGCTGACGAACACCTGATATATATGGTTGCCCTGCAAAATTTTGGCTGCCGATATCCATGCTGAAAATTCTATACTTGTACCGAAAATACAGTGTGGCATAAAGCTGTAATTAAAATTTAAAAAAATACAAAGTGTTTCAAAAATAATGAATGATAAAGAATAAATTAATATTTATAACAAGTCGAATTAGAGTAGGTCAAGCAGACCGGAGGAGGCAAATGTCAAAGTTTATCGTTTTCCGTACACGTAGTTTGGGGTGTGTATGTGATTAATCACGTTTCATAATAACTAAAAAGTAAGGAATTATGGGGAATATGAGACATTGCGTTTGGTGAAAACTTAGGTGTTCCGGTGATTCAAGCACACTTACACCTAAACGATTTCAATATGCCTTCTCATTACACATCTTAACGTATTCTATATATTTTAGACAATTCAACACAAAAAGTATATAAATTCCCACTTTCTGTGAAGGCTTTAACTTAAGTATCCCTTTTAGATTGAAGTGACCGTGTTGAAATTTCAGGAAACTGGATGAGTACGAATGAATACAATTGAAATAACAACAGTGAAGTGAAATTCTGACTCATTCGCTTTGTGATGAAATACATATACTATTTTGTTTCAAAATTGACCAGATACTGGTTGATAAATAACATGAATTGATCTGACGACTATCCATCCAATGTATTTATTGAACGAAGTTCATCTGAGTATGTTAGAAGTTGACAGTTTCCAATGTGTACATTTTTGTTCACTGTCTATTCCAGAGACGACCAATCACATTTAGCGAGAAACAATTGAATTGATAATACAAGACTGACTATTTAAGTTGTGTGAAAAGCATTTAGACACACATTCCTTCTGATAAACTAAATATCAAACATATATATATATATTTCTTTGTCCAGGAGTTTTGATCGATAGTCGATTGAGTCTTCTATCTGGAACACATGATCTCTAGTTGTGTAAACGATAATTCCGTCTGTATAGAACAACATTATGACCACTATCCTCAGAATTCACCAGGACTGCCAATTCTGGTTGTGGATGTTGAACGTAGAAATTATAAAACAAATATTTAGTAACAGAAGACGGTCACTACAGAGAAAAAGTTTCAGCCATAACGAGCAACTAAAAGATATACAGATAACAAAACACACAATGTAATTCAATTATGGGAATAGCATTGTCAGTACAATGTTAACAGATCAAATAACTAAATATATGGTTAATCAAATGTCACGCACGTTAGTTCGTGAAGGTGTCCATGCAATTTGAGGTTTCTATTGAGTTGTCATTTCCTATTTCTCCTCAGTAGTAGAAAACTTCACAGATAACCATTTCGAAGCTAGTCATTGTTTGAATACAGCACTAACTCAGACAGTTCAGCATGTTTGCTCACACAATGTATTCAGCTACTTCAGATATATTTTGTCACTGAATGTATCTCGAAAATTCCAGTCTCCCCTTTAATATGACGACTCTAAATCCACTGTTCACTTCAGATAACAAAGTCACTCTATTCACATTTCAGTAGATTGTTATATATATATACGCACTCAATGAACGGCGAGAAAACCGGATTGTGCAATTGTCGAATGTGTATTTTGTTTCAAAATTATTTTCACAGAGGGGTTGACAAATATGCAACACATTAAAAAAATATGAACTGATCAGACATTTCTTCGATTCACATTGAGCAAGGTACATTTAGGTAGGTAAGACATTGATAATAATATAGTGTACTACCAATATACTCATTCCTCTTCACTGTCTATTTCACCAACCAATTACAAACGACATAACACATCTGAAGTGTAGAATTTCACAAATCAGAAACAACTGAATTGATAATACAAGACTGTGACTATTTAAGTTGTGTGAAAAGCATTTAGACACACATTCCTTCTGATAAACTAAATATCAAACATATATATATATATTTCTTTGTCCAGGAGTTTTGATCGATAGTCGATTGAGTCTTCCATCTGGAACACATGACCTCTAGTTGTGTAAACGATAATTCCGTCTGTATAGAACAACATTATGACCACTATCCTCAGAATTCACCAGGACTGCCAATTCTGGTCACTAAAACGACCTCAAAATCGAGGATAACTTTCGCACTGAATGTAAGCTGTATGCTTTATTTATGAGTTATTGACTGTCTTGATAAAAGTCATTTTCTTATGTTAATTTCGGTAAGTCACTGATCCATCACAACTATGCAATTCAAGGTATTTTGGCATGCATGATTTGACGTACACTGAATCATCACAGAACACATGTCAAGCAAGCATGCGTTTTCGATAATTTCTCATGATGCTTCACAGTTAGTGACACGATAAAATTATTGATCATAGATGATTGATACAAGTGTGGCACATAGAATTAAAGTTTAGGCATATGAATCAGCCTATAATAATCGAGGTGGGTCACAATATTCTCTACACCGTTTAAACAGGTGTATAGTTATATTATCAATTTAATTGTGGTTAGTGTCAGGTTAGTTATCGTACTAAGAAAGTAGTAGGGAGATTGATGTTGGAGACACTTGACCTGGTGCAGCTGAAAGTGGCCAATTATGGCTTGAATGATACCTTCAAATTTATAGAAAATGTGTAAGAGATGGCTTAATCGTGAAATTTAGATTGCTATATACGTCACTTCCCTATTTATAAACTCACACTACCTAAATCAATGCAGACTGCAAGTCTAACATACATTTAACGTGTAGTTTCAGTTTAAGGACGAAATGTATCGTCAAGTGGTGGCCACAGCGATTGGTGTCCCCTTGGTTCCTTACCTACCTGACAGGCTTTTAGAGAATCGTCTACTGAATGATCTAGTCAACGAACTATCTCTCTGCTCTAAACATACATATGAGATATTTATTTTACATGCGAATCAAATCAATGCCAGCGTCTTTCTTAACACGTTGAATATTACACATCTATTGATTGAGTTCATATTGGAAGAGTGGTGTATACAGTGGTGTATCAGCTTTCGATATACTGTTTTAGATAGAGATCATCTATCGGCCAGTACACTTATTTCAATTCTTTTGCTTCTATTGCATTCAAGTGAGATGTCAGCAGTAATAGGTTGTATCGTGCTAGAAAATTATATGTGACTGAAAATTTGAATGATGGAATGAGAAAAATTGGAAACGCATTATTATTTCCTTGCAAAGAGGATGCAGCTGTTGAATTGTTGGAATCAAAACTCAGAAAGGTAGTAGCTGAAGAATTCTTTGCCACAACACTGTTTAGAATTCGACCATCGTTGCATAACAACAATCCACATGAACGATAGGCTGATAGATTCGCTTGCTTCAATATACAAATACGATAGCTGCCAAGGTTTCAGTTGTATGGTTTGAGCAACCCAATGACACCACCTGTGCTTTCTTGAGCATTGTTCAGTGTCGTTGTAGAAAGGAATCGTAGGATCATTCAGGGGCTACTTGGTGGTTTACCTAGTGGATATGGATCACAAGATTGGTAATGCTTCAGCCTTTACTATTCTGTACACAAGGTGGAACCTAAATCTGTAGGCCTATACGCTCTTAGCACAGTGGTTTGTTGGATGAAGCTCTGGCATTTGAAACAAACAGTGCTAGATTCGAAGACCAGTGGGAACACTACAACTCACTGGGGATTCAGGAACGTTCGATTGAAGAGCGCTGAATGGGATGAAGTGGACATCCTGGTTCCAACTGCTGTATAACATCATAGTTGTCATGTTGTATTATAATCGCACATTTTATTCTGCGTTTCACAACTTAATATAAAACCAACCACTCTGTTATCTAGTCGCTATGGTTCAATAGTTTATTCTTCTCTCTGCCCGTGCAAATATGCACATCCTACTCACGATCATTGACCATGTAGTTAATATAAGCACTTGTATCAATTTATCTTCGTATTGTTGTTATTATTATAATCACTGTGATAATTTATTTCATCCAAACATTGATAGACTTGGAGTTTACTCGGTGGTGTAAGTCCACACTTGACAATATTGTTATGTTACTGTGATGTAAGATGAGAAATTACGGGAAATGCTTATTTTGTCTACAGTGACAATACTGAAAATATAGTCATATGTACTTTGATCGATAAATAATTGAATAGCCTCTTATCTGCTGCTTTGTGTTTACAAGGTTGAAGTTGAATCTTTAAAAGCAACACTTTGCTTACTTTGAAACATATTAGACTTTGGAGTGTGGTTTCTAAAAGTCATACAAAATCTCAGGTGTCATTTCATGTAACCGTTTGTTTTCTGTTCAATTTTATTATCGTCCAAGTGTGATTAAAAATGTCTAGATCAGAATATATCCCTTCTCCATATCTACAGTCAGTCTCCCAATGTATTCAGTGGGTACACACGTTTGAAGTGACGATGAAATAAGTAAGGATAATTCGTAGTCTTTTGTAGATTGTCTCTTATATTTTTATTCTTGAAGGATGTATGTCATAGTAAAAGTCAGTCACACTACAAATTGGAACTAAATGGTCTCTTCTGTGTACTGTAGAATCACGTGTTAGCTAAACACGTGGTTTCTGTCAAATTTACGACATGTGCCAGCCAAATGATGCGTGCCAAATGCTACGTGATGAGTGCCTTTACTTGCTTTCACTTCTAGACACCATGTATCTAATGGCTTGCCATTTCAATGAAGTTTTGAATGTTTCATATGCAATTCACATATCGGTCTCTGGTGTTTTGCCACAAAGTCAGCAGTTCGTCAGTTGTTTCCTCGAATGAATCAAAGTAGCAGAGTGTTCGATGCTGGTTAATCAATACCGTTTGAATTGAATTTATTTCATGTCAGTCAGTCTCTCCATTATTACCTAAATTCAGGTTCCGATGTCATTTCTCTATGTTAACAGGTATTTTCTATCGTTGTTATTCAATTGGGTGTAGCATGTAGCGTAGGATATTTGATCACGCAAATGTATGTTCTGTAACCAATCCAATGTACTTATACTGAATCTGTTTTGCAGACTACCTGTCTCCTTTTGGATCCTACAGAACCTTATTTTTCTTTGGATGTCAAGGTAACTGAAAATTTATTTTTGTGATATTCCGTTCGCTTGAACTGGTTTTTGTTTTGTAATCAGCTATATTAATTTATTAAAGCTGGATATTTTTGGGAATTTTAGTCAACGCCTTTAGTTTTGGTGTTTAACCGCTATCTATTTGAGATGTCAATAAATACATTACCGGGTAATTCACGTTATTTCTACAGGGATTCCAATACTTGCGCACATCTGTGGACGATGTTTTTTTATCATCAATAGGAGAATCTGATAAGTGCATAAACTAGAGATGAAGTTATCTCATTAGTTCAGGTAAAGCTGTAAAAGAGATTTTAGCTATAGATGAGAAGAGAAGATATACCGACGGCCGAATGCTTTGTGAATATTGAGAACAAGAGAAAATTTATTGGCTACAAGTTGTTAACATATAAACGATAGATTTAATGAATTCTCTTTACGATTTCTAATTCAATGAGCATATGTGTAACATTTAAGCTTACAGACTATTCTGGTGATAAGTTTGCAAGATAATCGGATGTTACTAGTCAAAATGAAGTAATCTGATATGTCCAGTTTGTTAAAATCATCGTCAGATTCTGGAGCTAGTTTAATCAGGACTGTTAGATGCTTAGAGCACTGAGATTTGTGTATATGTAGAGTACACTGACATAAGTTACATGCAGTAGGGTTGACGAAAAATATAAAGACGATTTCTTATAGAGGAAGCAAGTGGTTACTAAAACACTGTCGAATATCTTAAGCATTTTTAACCAGTGGCAACGTAAGTTTCTGGTCAGGAAATTAAAAGTCACACGTAAAACCATCAACAATAGCATGCAAATTGTGTCGAAAATCAAATGGTGAAAGGTTATAGATGTTAATTTACTCCTTCATCTAAAAAACAAGTATACAGTTATATCTCTCATGCCATTGTTCTCTACCTTTCATTATATCTGTGCAGTTTCATTTACTTCGTCCTCGAAATTGTATGGGCCTTCATCAAATCAGTTCCGAGGATATTTCCATGGAACATTTTATACCTGTTTATGATGGTAAGCACAAACATTTAAATGTCGTCGACATTGTCCTGTGTTAACACTTTCAACGTAACAACATGAACTTTATGTTGACGGTTAATTAGGAAAACTTATCAGTGAGTTTCGGTCCTATGTGTTATGAATAAAACACTTAAATAGTTTCATTCACAGATTTTCTTGAGATCACATGGTTCGGTTATGACTATACTTCCTAAATTGAAAGTAACGCGTGTTCTTGATTCCACTGCTACCCACTATCGATTATTTAAGGCTGAGCATAGATCAAATGTACAGTCAACTAAGCAGGATGACATTTGTCACACAAGCAAATAAAAAACGACTAATTACATTAGCAAACTAGTAAACATGTAAACAGTGATTCAATAGCTGGGGAATTTTAAATTAAAAGTATAAATGTTTCACTAAGGTGAACTGAAACAAACTTTAATAAAATGATGGGCCCAGGGAATAATGTAAGTTTTTAGGTTCTGGAGACATTCGATTCTTCAAATTTTGTCAATTCCTTGCTTCTCTTCGAAATGTTTTCTCCTATCATGGATTTCTCGCCAGCAGATTCCCATTTGAATGTAGACTGCTGTTTAATTTACGGAAGATTTCAAATTTTACACTACTTGTATAGGTAGTCTTGTACATTATATACCACATTACTGGTTTTATTGATTCATGTCAAATGGCTTTCAACACTGGATTTCTCGTTGCTTTTTCTTTATGAGACAAAAGTATAGGGTTGCTAATCATTTCCTCTTACTTTCATTTTCATCACAGACATTCATGTCGTCCTACATAATTGGATGTGAATGCTTATCATACAAAGATGAGGTTCCATTCGTCGCATTTGCGTTTCTATGGACGATGTTACAAGTCATTGTCTGCTTTGCACTCTTTGTAGTGAACGATTTCACGGAAACGTTACTAAGCAGGATAATAAATATCCTATTCGGTTTGTCAATATTATCTGGTCAAATTGCTTACTTTGCTAGAAGGCAATCTACGGTGAGTGGTGTTTGAGAATACCTTGTAGCTTTTCTTCATGGACTGATATTGACAGGGGGACTGGTTTTGATGCAGCATGTCATTTTGCTGTTCAAAGCCACAGTTCACGTGTCATTTGTGTATAGTGGGGGAATACATAGCCACAGAAGCAAAGAAAGTGAGTTGCACTACACATTTGGTGGCTGCAGCTGCCTTTTTCTAGGACCAAATGGGTTTCAGGAATTTTAAATCTGAGAGGCATCAAAATTTCCCCACCATCTAATTCTGTGAAAGCTACGTATTCGAAGTATGATAGTTTTGTAACTTTTTGCCTGGTAGATCTTCTTGGACGTCTCAATGGAAGATCCCTCTCAACAGTGGCCTAGTTAGTGGTTATACATTCATTACCATCCTATGAATGAACTTTAAAGGCTTCACTGACAGAATTCTCCACCTTTTTTCCACTAACCTTTGTGAGGGTAATCCATGTTCCATCTGATGACAGTTCTTGAAGCCTAATGGTGATTTCCTTAGTCAGAATTGTTTTTGAACCGTTATATAAAAACACATCCACTAAATTTTTTATCACCACGTTTTAATCGTTTGGGTACTAAACCCATACACAAACTTTCTCCAAAAGACTTAGTATAATTGGAATTAGTCTTTGTCAGTTGTTCATTTGATACACTCAGCGGCTTTAACTTATACAGAAGTGGGTGATGGGACTCCTTAGAGCCTACAGAACTACATGAGCTACTAGCCTTACATGCAGAGGATATGGGGCTTCTCCTGAAACAAGAGAAACAAATTACCAGAGTGCCAAGAAGTGAGGATATCTGTTGGCCATGTGGCCTCCTTCTCATTTTGCGCAATACTTTCTTTCTATCTTGGACATATCAACCACAACAGGCGTCAGCTGTTTTGTAGATCATGTAACCATGTTACTATTTATATGTTGACTACTTGTATCCAGTTTTCCGAATATGCTGAGTAAAATGATTGCATCAGTAGAAACAAACCTACTCAACTCAGAATAGGCTCATGACCACTTTCCGTAGCTTCTTCCTCCGTTTCTGCCCATGTTATCTGCAACACATGGGCAGTTTTATCAATGAAGATTCCAGAGTACTCAGGAAGTTTAAATCTGCCAACTAATTCATTTGCTTAAAAGCTATGGGATAACTTTCAATTTTTATGGCGAATCTTGACGCAGCTTCAGGATTTTTTAATTTTTATTTAATTTTATTTTTTTTGATTACAGCTTGACTCCACACTGTATTTTTGATACAAGTATGGAATTTTCAGCGTGGATATCGGTAGCCCAAAATTCGCAGGCCGACCATAGATACCAGGTGTGCGTCGAGGTGGGCTCGAACCCCGGACCATGTGCATGGTCGGCGAGAGTCCTAACAACTGTGCCATCGACGCAGTGTGTTCTCGGGTGATCCATCAAATCCTGAAGCCACGTCCTACTCACTTCATGAGGTCTCCCAAAGTTGCGCGTCAATCTATCGCGTGCTCTTCGATTACCAACGAAGTTGGGATCATGGTGCTTTTTTCAACGGTGTCCCTAGTGTTACCATTAAAACAGTGCAGAAGCATAAGAGGCGTCCATCGTCATACCCCCTTGGAACTACACAATGTTCAAACTGTCTCTTATATTTTCAGTAATTGTCTGGCTGTCCATAAAAATGACACTGAAGAATGATAATATAGCGTTTCTTTAGTTTTCACAACTATCAAATATGTCGACTGCTTCAGAAACGCACTCAGTGACTATAGGGTAACGTGACTGTCCATCGTCATTGCACAATGAAACACCATTTATATTATCATTCAGTTTTATCAACCTAGTTACCCTTTCTAAGCTCTGTATTTCAGCCTTTTGTCTAACCTCAAACCTACGGAATTCTGATTCCTTTTTCCGCCTAAACTCAGCTAAGGTTACCCTAGGGTTGGTCATAACATGATCACTAAATAAACTCAAAGGAGAAGCATGACATGAAAATGTATCAAAAGAGACTTACAGTGTTTATGGAGGCACATTTAAGGCCGCGATATTTTCTTTCTCCATGGTAGGTTCGGCAACCATCTTGGGCGTTTGCCAGGTATAGTGCTTCTGTATACTGAGTGCTGTAGAGACCAAAAACCGAAGTGTTGTGGTGTGTACACAAGAAACCAATCTTCGCCTTTTACTTTACAGCTAACCAAAACATCCCTTATCGAAGCACAGTTGCGAAGTGTCCTGACGGCAGCGAAAAGATATTTATTTGCGATGGAATCTGTGATACTGTTTAACAATAATTACATATTAAAGCTCAAAATTACCTCAGTAATACCGTTAGGCGGCAATACAGAACTAGCGCTTTCTCCGACACAAAGCAAGCATTATACAACTAAATTATTATTATTGCTCCCTTGGGTTCCTAGTGGAACATAGGGCTTCAACTGCACCTCTCCATTTGCTTCTGTCTTCTGCTATACTTTTCGCCTGCATCCATGTTAATCCATATTCTTTCAACTCCTCTTCACACGATCTCCTCCATGTCACCCTTGCACTGACGTCCCACTCGCCGCTTCCCTTTCGGGTTCCATTCGAGCAATGGCCTGACGCGCGCGATTTCACTCAGCGGTCTCCTCAGCGAGTGTCCGATCCATCTCCACTTTCTCCTGCATATTTGTTGGGCGATTGGTTCTTGCTTTGTTTGTTCCCATAATTCCTTGTTGGTGATTGTTTCCGGCCCGGCCATCTGATCTTCAGTATTGAGCGAAGACAGTTGTTGATAGAGGTCTGCAGCCTTTTGGAAATATTCTTTGTGACCCACCCGCCAAGTTTCTGACCCGTATAGTAGAACTGACTGACTTGACGTTTGTATTGAAAATCCGACTGAATTTTGTTGGTGATGCTGAGTTAACAAAAATCAACCGTAAGAGTTACCTGAGAGTCACAAAAGGCATTACATCAGACCACTGCAGAGTTCCATCAACAGCTTCCTTCGTCTGATGCTGAATATCGAAAGGCCTAAAATGATTAGCAGCAGGGAACTCTGGCGGCAAAGCAAACAAAAACTCTTTGTATAACCAATATGCAGAAGGAAATGGAGCTAGATCGGGCACACTCTGACGACACCGTTAAGTGACATCACGTGCCAGGCTGTCGAGTAGAATAAAAGTAGGAAATAGCGGGCAGGGTGTCCAAAGGTAACATGCAAAAGATCGTATGAGGAATAGGTGCTGGCATATGTGTAGCCGTGGAGCCAGCTTAGAAGGCTGCAGAGGACAGGATGAAATGGAAATATGATCCTGAAGTTCTATGTTCCACTTGGAGCCTAAAGGAATGATAATTTGACGATGTATAAGCAGCCTAAAGAAAGTTACAGAAACGTTTATTTCACCTAACTGTTCACATTCCATTTTGACTGCTTGCATAGTCTTGAGAAACTTCTATTTATTGTCTGAAAGATAATTCACCCTCGATGTCAAAAAATAGGGGATAGTATAGAATCTATGATTTTGAAAATACATTTCTCTGAAGTGGCAGGGGAATGCATATAATAAGTATTGACTGTTTTAAGGTTATTGGCGAATTTGCGATTTTTATCTGATGCTTATTCGCTTTTCCCTGCAACACCAGAGAAGTACGTTTTTAATTATTCCAGTATATCATTAACTTCTATCCAAATACAATCTTTGTTATTGTACACAAAATTTAGTGATATTTAGACAAGTTCGCATGACAGGGATTTGAAATTTCAGTTTGAAGGACTGATATGTCAGACGAGTAATCTATGCTTTTATTAATCAGTATCTTCCTATAACACCCTTGGATAAAAACAGAATAATTAACATTGGTTAAAAAAAGGCAGTTATTAATGCATTCTAATATTTACGATTATTTATTTCCTTTTAAAATTAATAACAGAATATTCGAAGGAGCATTAAATCTTCACTGATAAACATTGTAATCTTCAAATTTTCTCACTTCACTAGATCACCTTACTTATTGCTGGATGTGTTGGGTTTCCATGCACATGTTACGTAAGTTTAATTTCATTATTATTCAGCACTTTTGTTAAAGTGAACTCATTTGACAAGCGAGTATGGACAGTGTTTATTGTTCTAATTTAGTGCTGCATGTAACCAGTACAATTTCTCCAGGCAGTGCTGTTATGAGTAAAATTCACATATTCTTCCATTATCGAGAACATTTATTTGATACAATCCGACAGTGTTATACAACATTATTTACTGAAGACGTTTTGAACAAAATTGTTTGATGCTCATATTCATCTCGAGGTACTCAAACAACTTGCCGATTTCTTTTAAATAATCCTATTATTACAATCGATCAAATCGAGAGATGATACATATTTTCTGTATCTGTAGTATTTGTGATGAGTCATTCCTATTGCATGTGTTGGGTGTAGGATTGATTGTGCATCAGTGGCACAGTGGTTAGAACTCTCACCGACCATTCGCATGGTCCGGGGTTTGATCCCTTGCCGGCGCACACCTGATATCTATGGTCGGCCTGCAAAATTTGGGCTACCGATATCACATACTGAAAATTCCATACTTGTACCAAAAAATACGGTGTGGAATCAAGCTGAAATTAGAAAAATGAACAAAGATTCAGTAATCAGTTTTTCTCTCAGTCCATCTATATAATTTTTTAGAATTATAACTCTGCCGAAGCCTACTTTGTGGTTGTGTGTTAATGCATGCATTGCAGTCGCTGAGCTTTTTTCTAGATTACTTATCTTCACCTAGTCAGTCGATATACAGTTAGCTAGATTCTAATGTACTGACAAACTGGCTACCCCTGATCAACAGGTTAGACTTAAATTATAAAGAATATAAGGAATCTGCGCTTTATCATATTATTTTTGTCTTTTTTTGTTCCTAGAGTAACATACGGCTTCAGCTACACGTCTTTATTGCGTTCGGTCCTCTACCAACGTTTTCACCTGGATCCACGTCTAACCACATACTTTCATCTCCTCTCAGCGTGACCTCCTCCATATCACACACGCACTGACGACCAACTCGCCGCTTCCCATTCAGGTTTCATTCGAGTGATGGCATGGCTCATTATGTCAATTGATGGTTTGTTTTCTCGGAGCATGGCCAATCCACCTCCACTTCTTGTCGCAGATTTGTTGCACATTCGGTTTCTGGTTAGTTCACTCCAAGAGACTCCTCACTATAGCTGATCTTTTCTGGCTGGTAATCTGATCTTGAGTGGTGTTGAGCGACGACAGTGGTTGATAAGGGTGTGTGGTTTGTTTGAAATGTCCTTCGTGAATCGGCGCCAAGTCTCTGATTCGTATGTTAAGTCAAACTGACTTTACATTGCACTTGAAGATTTGGATCGGGTTTTTCATGCTGAGTGTTGTTGATCTCCACATAGACTTAAGAGAGGTGAAGGCTTGCCTTGATTTCCCGATCATCGCTGTTCTGGTATCCTCATCAGTTCCGTCTGCCTGTAGGTGAAATGATGCTTCCCAGTTAGTTAGGTAGGTAGAGGAGGTCTCTTCTTTCAGATTCCCCCCATTTATGCTGATTGTCATCTGTTTTTGCTGCTGTTGCTGTTGGCCAGGAATCTTCATCATCTCTGTCTTCTCTATGTTCACGTGAAGGCCTATCTTCTCTGGATGCTTCTTCTGCCAACTTGTTGCTTTTCACTTGCATGTCTTCCAGTTTCTGGGAAAAAAGACATGTCATTGTCTAAATTCAAATCCTTCAAGTTTTCTGTGTGGGTCCATTTTAAGCCTGTCTCTGTGTTTCCCGCTGTCTGTCGCATTATCCAGTCTACCGCTATCAGAAAAATCATTGGAGATGGTAGGCAGCCAGCTAACTAGTTTGTCTTACACATATCTTCTATTCGAAGGATTCCGTGAGTTTCCCGTTGTGGATTACTTGGCATGCGGCATTGTCGTACAGCTGTTGGATGAGGTGTACAACTACTGTTGGTGGCACCTCGTAGTAACGAAGCAGTTTGCAAATCACCTCTCGACGGACGCTGTCGAAGGCCTCTTCGAAGTGAATGAAGTTGTGATAGACAGCTGACTGCCATTCTGAGCTCTGTTCAACGATGATCCGTAGTGCTGCAATCTGGTCGATGCATGACTTGTTCCCCCTGAATCCAGCCAATTTCTTCGAAGTTTTTCATCCAGGGCGTGTTTGATTCTCTCCAGGATGATGCGGCTTAGTATTTTGGTTGGGATGGACAGGGGCGTAATGCTGCGGCAGGTCTTGCATCGACTTAAGTCTCCTTACTCTGATAGTTTGAATAAGTAGCCTTTCCTCCAATCCACAGGTAACTTAGCCTCTTTCCAAACCTTATCCAGTAGCGTTGTCGTTTTGTCCACTGATGTCTCTGAGTCCATTTCCAATGCCTCTGCTAGGATTCTGTCTGATTCTGCTGTTTTCTCAGTATTTATCATCCTGATTGTCTTCATGACTTCTGTTCTCGTAGGAGGGTTGATGTCCACTGGCACCTCTGCTTCCGCTCTTGGTATTATTTGGGGCGTTGCAGGTGGCGGTCGATTTAGTAGTCTTTTGAAGTATTGAGTCCAGTGTTTCCTTTGCTCCACCTCTTTGGTGATTGATTTTCCATTGGCATCTTTCACTGGCTTAACTTGCGTTGGACGTTACCTCGATAGGAACCTAGTTGTTTGGTAGAGTGTTGCGAGGTCTCATCTACCTGCAGTGCAGCATGTTCTGCTTCACTGGCTGTAGCTTCATAATATTTTCTTTTGTCTTCCCTGGCATTCTTCTTTACTCTTTTGTCCAGTGTATTGTAGTTTGCATTCGACTCCTGTTTTTGTTGATCGTCGATGCACTCGATAAATTTCGTTCCAACATCTTTCTCTCTTCTATTAGTGTCCATGTGTCCGTAGTGAGCCACTGTTTGTCCTGTCTCTTCCTTCTGCCTAGAACTTCTATGTAGGTTTAGCTTCACACCGCTTTCGGGCTGTTCCAGTGTTTACAGCTCTGGTCTCTTTTCAAGTGTTGATTTGTGTCTTCGCCTTTTTCCTTATGATTGCTGTGAAAATGTCCTTTGTGGCCTGATACTTCAGTTTTTGATTATTAAACTTGTTTTGTGGTCTGTCTGCCTTCCGTGTTTCCTTGAAAGTTTTTAATTTGATTTTTAGTGTCTCTTGTACGAAATAGTGGTCTGGGAAAGCATCTGCTCCTCTTCTTACTTTTGTATCCAGTAAGCTGCGTCTCCACTTCCTTGAGCACCATTGAGATGAAGTTAATTAGGTTTTCGGTTCGCCTGTCTGGTGACACCCATGTAGCCTTGTGGATATCCTTGTGCTTGTCTGCGCTGCCGCCAATCGCTAGTTCATTGAAGACACAGATGTCGTCGAAGAGTTCTCCACTTTCATTCATCTCTCCAAGTGGTTCTCTACCCATGACAAGTTCTCTTCCTGTGTCGTCTGGTCCCAGTTTGACGCTCATGTCTCCCATTAGTACTTTAATGTCACCGACTGGAGGATTGTGTATTTCCATATGCGGTTGTCTGTAGAACTCTTCTTTCTTTTCGAGGTCTGAGTTGTTTGTGGGTGCATACCATTGTGTAATTGACAATCTCCTTCCTTTAGAGTTGAATATGACGGTCCTGAGAGAGATCGCCTCCCATAGCATCAGGGCCTTCGTTGCCGTTGATGACATCATGATAGCCACACCCTCGGTGTTCGTGTGGTTTCCCTCTGGGTGACCGGAGTAGACAATCGACTCCATTGTTAGCAATTTTGTGAGCCCACTCCCATTCCATCTGCTTTCTCATATTCCCATTACTTGAATACCATATCTTTTCATTACGTTTGCAATCTGAGCAGCTTTGCCAATCTCATACACAGTGCGGACGTTCCATGTCACCTTCTCATAGAGATGTAAGTTACAGAAAGGCGACTTTTTAGGTTGCTGCCTTTTGAATCAGGAAAATAAGAAGTAAAGCAATCGGAACAACAACAAAAATCACAACAGTAAAAGGTGTGACAACAACGCTAACAAGAACTGTCACAAAGATTTTCACTGTTAAAATAATTACTGAAAATAACACGCAAACCATAGACCCACTGACTTGGGCATGAAAATCCAACAATACATACAATTACTGATATTAGTTAGGGGTCACAAAGTAGCAAACAGTTTGTTATAGATATTAATAGTCAACAATATTATATCCACAGGACAAGTTTTCGAAAGTAAGCTAAATAAAAAAATTCTACCACTTTCTGCCCCAAAACACCAGAGAAATGAGATTTTTATGTAACTAAGCAAATCTAACACACAAATCGAGAGGCACGTTTTACTACATAAGGAATGGATACCTGAATCCCTACGTAGGATTCTTAGTAAATCAGTATTTAGGACGGTATTTTAACCTAGGAGTTCACTTAGGGACAAGCTCTGTACGTCAAAGGACCCTAGTGATCCAATGAGACAAAATAATATAATTTACAAAATACCTTGCAACGACTGTGAGTTAAGTCAACTACATGGGTCAAAACGGTAGATCAGGGGTAGCCAGATTCTTATGTTCTAATAATCTGGCTAAATGTAGAATGACTGACTCCGCGAAGGTGAGCAATGATGGCTGACCAAAGTACTTAAGATAATCTAAAATAAGTCACAGAAGGGATAGATCCTCAGGAAATGAGGCTTCACTTAACATTGCAGAATCATCGCTTGGCTGATATTAAAGGTTGGCACCATACTAGAAAAGAAACTTGACCATCTTCGCACTCCAAAATCTACTAGCTAATGATAAAGCATTGGCATAGTTCTGTTAAGTAGTCTTATCAGTAGGCAGTCCACGTTCTAGAAACTATTGACCTTCAGATGACCTGTTCTTGCAGCCATCACCAAAGGAGTTCGTCCACTTTGTGTTATATCTCCGAAACCATCTCAATCATGTAACTTAACAAACTTTCACATGTCCATTTCCTTATATATTGTGAAGAACTGTGTCCTCAGTTGCTTTTACTGCTATAATAAATGACAGACAAGTTCTAGGTTTCTTACTTGAGCAGTTTCAATTAAAGGTACTAAAGCAACTAACTTAAGTGTCAGTGTCAGTTGAAAAGAGATTATTGATCGATCACGCAACGTTAAATTACCATCAATTCACACTAAGAAAAAGGTTTGAAAATGATCATAATTAATTTGTAAAAATTATATCAGAAGGTTTAGACACAAATATGCATTCATATATACTGCATAAATGCATCAACAAACTTCAACTTTTTTTCGACACTTTCATTACTTTTTACGTCTGTTTGCAGCAACTTGTAAAAGAAGTGAAATTGGTGTTTGGTGGGGGTGGACGTTATTACTCAGAGGAAAATACAATCATTCCAGCCAGGAATATTTATGGGTACTGTTGGTGCTTGTTTCTAACGATTATATGGGTGTATGCACCATTTGGGTTGAGATCTGAACAACCGAAATCTCTTCAATAAAGACTCTGATAATAGTATAAAAATTATCAAAACTGAAGCAAAACTGTAGCAAATTCAGTAAGAATTAAACTAGAATGTCTTTCTTTCAACAATCATCTGTCTTTGGTTTGACCTTTAATTTGAAATATTGAAAACATATTAATTTCCTGCTACAGAGGAATCAGTTAAAACTAAATATTGAGTATGGTTCTGGACAAGTGAAATATTTGTAGAGATATGTCATTTTAGAATGTATCTTATACAAATAAAAACACTGGAGAGTACATTCATAGTAGGTCAGTAAATAAATAACTACCGTAGTTTTCGGATATACTACACCATGCATCGAAATGTTCGGAATAAATTCAAGAAAATTATGCATACTTATAAACACTGTATTCTGATATCCTTGGCCTCACAGCCGAAGAGTTTCACTGAATTATCATTTGTTGACACGAGAAGTAAAGAAAGTTGAAGCTTCTGTCAATTTTATGAGAAATGTACTCTTGGCTTATTAGCGTCCTAGAAGTATAAATATAACTGCTACTAGTAGTAATATTAAAATTACTTAAATAAGCCACACTGCATGTGTAAAGAATTAAAAATAATGCGTAGCTTTTTTTGGATGGAGAAGCTGGAGTAGGGCTGGAAATTCAAAACCCAGCGGCTAACTACTAGACATTGAAGTCTTATGTTTGATTGACTCATTTTAGTAAACAGGATGCTTGTTTGGTTCGTTATGAGACAAAAATTTGGAGAAATCTGCACGAAATACAACTATTGGATTTGAGGGTGATACTGTGGGTTACAACAGAATATTTGGTACCTATCCTTTATTATTTTGATTAATATCATTTTCACTCTGAATAATTTCCCTTTCGGTCCTTTACTCAATTCAACGCAATTTTCCTCAGCAGTGTTGTCGTATCGAAATCCTCACCTTATTGCTTACCGTTTCAGTTGCCGAATAATTTAATAATTCTGTACCCCTTTCTAAGATTTATACATTCCAGAAACTATCTTGTTAATTAGCTCTAGGACACTCTAAAACCCAGACATACAATCAAGTAAAAATGACCAGTAGACATAACTAAAGTCTGCTTAGTGCAACATGAGGTGCTGATTCTTCGACCTAACAAGTAGGATCCTTTCCTTGGTATGGTCCATCGTATTTTTCTTTGTAATTAAAGGTCTATTTAATTTTACACTTAGCTAATGGTGTCGGCTGATCATGCGTAGTGCAGGTTCATAAGTCCACAGCTAACTAGTCATATTAAGCATTACATGCTCAGTTTTGTTTCTCGTCAGGTGGTATAATATGGTCATTAACAGTGGACTTAAGCGTAGCGCTAAGTAGGGAGGGAAAATCAGTTGTATAATGTATTTGTGAGTATGGGTCGGCACAACGGTTAGGACTCTCGCCGACCATACACATGGTCCGGAGTTCGATCCCCTGCCGACGCACACCTGATATCTATGGTCGGCCTGCAAAATGTGGGTTACCGATATCACATGCTGAAGATTTCATACTTGTACCAAAATACTGTGTGGTTTCAAGCTGTTGTAAAAAAAATAAAAATATTAAAGAATTCAATTCAATCCAATAAAAGAACAGAACTTGGGCACTATGTTAGAGTATAATTTCGTCACAGAGTAAATTCATTTATTTATCAAATAAATTTACTGTATAACGGAATTCAATCAAATCTCAAAAATGAAATGGTTTTCGTTAACTATTTTTGTAGTAATGCGTAGATTATCACGGAATTTATGTACTAAAATAATTATTTAGTTTGTCAATTAAAAATGAATTGCATGGAACTCGTATTTCAAGAGCATGGTGATTGGCTGTACTTATTGTGTTAGTACTGACCAATAAAACCTAGTTACACAGAGTGATGTGAACCACTGACTGATATTTGACTGCTTCCTTCAATAAGACACATTTCCATTGAGAAGTAGCTATGGGACATGATAATTTGGTCGCTTAAAATTGTTAATATAAGAACCAAAAATGTTCAGCGAAGAGTCTCTTTTCGGCGAATTCATTCACTTACCTGTACAGTCGCACTTTCATATAATTATTTTGCGTGTGTGTGTACATTAGGATTGTTGAACAAAAATAAAAATAAGTTATGGTTATTGTTTGTGTCATCAAAATATTTCTTAAATGTGATGAATAATCAAAATTTTAACTAGAGCGGGGAGGGGGCGGAGATTGATAAGTATTAAGAAGGGTTGTGTAATATGAAAAGGGATGTTAATGGAGACACGTCTCCGAAATTAATTACGTAGTACGTAGAAAGAGTAAATAAAGGGTCGGTTAAGAAAAAGATGTTACTAAGACGTTAGAAAAAGAATTTGAAATAAGCATTATTAACAAAGTAGTGGAACTTGGAATTATGCTCATGGTAGAAGAAAAAGTTTCTTTCGTGTACATAAATCAGGGTTTTCTATTCGGATCTCTAAGGCCTCGAAAATGTAAAGTATACAGCAACTCACTGTTTTCGGGAGGCTTCTTTTGACTTTGTAGATGACTACGCATGAATTCTCCTTACATTTCGAGTGATCAATGTTGACTATATTTTCAGTTATAGCGCTCTTTATTGATCCTCTGTTACCTTTTCGTAGCCAAGTAGTATAGTGTTCTTTGACTCTATTCGATAAAACACGCATCGAAAGACCAATAAGTCTCGATCCATATGAGAAAATAAATTCTTAGATACACATAAATGTGGACAAATGCGATAGTTAATCTTTGGAGTTGCTGAAGAACAATGGGTGACTTGAGAATACCAATCGTAATGTAGCAGCAGAGAATGTTCTTTTCAGGGCGTTAGATATTCTTCTTTATAGAATGTCGATCAGAAGGTCGCCTTTGAAAGCCACATTTATGTATAGCATCTTCAGTGTAGAGATGGGCTGTTCTTTGTTGATTTTCAGCTCTATGCGTCAATCGTTAACGCGTGATGGATAGCTATTCTCAAGTAGTGTCTTCCTCAAAGGAGTGGTCTTTTCTTCTACTGATTTGGGGTTGCATATTCTATGGATTCTAGTAGCAAGGGACATTATTAGGTTCCGCCTGGTAATCAAGGGTACCCAACTGTAAATTGTTTTCAGCCGACCGTTCCATGTAGGTTTTCGATCCCTTTAGACTCCCATCAGTCCTCTTTGTTAATAGGACTTTCAGAAGTAAGACTGTCTCTCTCGTTTCTGCTTTACTTTTATATTTGGTGGCTAGGTGGCAGCTATTGAAAAGCTGAAGTAAATTATTTATTATAGAAGTGTTATCAATGTACTTTTTGTATAAACATAAGTTGTCAATTGTTTTAGTGGACCGTTTTCCAAACTTTCAATAAAAATACCTGTAAGTAACAGGTCTAAACTTGAACCCATAGTCACGCCATCTTGCTGTCTACAAATAGTACCACTGAATGTGAATTGAACGTTCAAAGTGCATCTAAGTAGAAGTTCCTTTAACTTGGGTGTGGATATTCCGCTATTCAAGTCGTTGTATCCCAAGTACTTGTATGAGAAATAAATCATCTTCGTAATCAGGACATTTGTGGAGACGGATTCGAAATTGAGTGATATCATGCGGTTGTCGCCTATTTTCACATCTCTGATATAGTTGAAGAATTCAAACGTGTTACGAAGAGAGTATTTTGAAATTTTTTCTCTAACAGTTTCGAGTTTTCGCATCATCATTATTCTTCAGAATTACGAATTCTAGGCTAACTAATATGAAGTAATACAGAGACCATAGAATATTCAAAGGGAAAAGAATGGAAAATAACTAGTTTTGATATGACAGGTTCATACACTAATATTTTAATATATTAATGAACCTCTGGAAAAAAATTAGAGACCAACTAAGTATTGATCCTGAACTGACACAGTGAATAGGGCATTTGCTCAAGAGATAATGTAATATGTTTATTTGTATACGACTAATGTGGTCGTAAAATTTCGAGGTAAGATTTTCAAACAGAAAAATGGTTAGGCAGCGAGAATACCAATTTCATCAGCAGTTGGGAATATAAAACTGTAAGAACTTCGAATAACATTCCTGGGGTATGGTGGATATATGTAGACGATACAATACTGCAGTGAAATCTCAACACACGCCCGATATCTTCATATGTAACAACAGAAGACAAGGGCCAGGCAACAGATCGTTTTATTACGAAAATCAACGCGTATTTATATATATATATATTTTATGTACATTAATAAGGCTTATGCAAGCAGAAAAAGGCAGTCTTCTAATTGGTTGTTTCTCGAAAGTTAAGCAGACAAACACAGTCTCCTGATTGGTTGTTTTCCATATTTTTCGGAAAGTAGAACCATTTATCTGCAAATCATATTTGCCCACGTTTAAGTCTGCTGTGATTGGTTGTTGAATCAGCGTCGATTAATGTCTACCAATTGGCTAGCAGCCTGCTCTCACCACACTCGTCCCCTCTTCAAATAGCTTCGTACGCAGACGTTCCGACCTTCTGGGTGCTACATCCTCTAGTTGAGGATTGTTACTGACCGGCTTGTCCCACTGTACCCATCTTTGGAGCTGACTGGCGTTAACTCGTTTCTGTTTATCACCTCTTCGGATGGTATATACTTGACCCCGTCTTTTTGTGATTGTGTATGGTCCTTCCCACTTTGGAAGGAGTTTCCGTGAACCTAGCCCGCCTCCAACTGTATATCTCCTGTCTCTACACTTCACTTGGTCCCCGACTGCAAAGGTAATGCACTGCGTCCTTTCTTTCATCTGAGACTTCGCGACATCACTGCGCTGCTTCCGTATTACATTCTTGACTGCCTCTTTCCTCTCTGCTTTTAATTTCGTCGTACTCCACTTTTGGTGCATGGGCCAGGTCTCATTGTGTACCGGTAATCGTGGTTTTCTACCATACATCAGTTGGAAGGGTGACTTCTTCGTTGTTTCCTGAGTGGTAGCCCGATGTGTTAGTAAAATCAGTGGAAGCTCCGTTTCCCAGTTCCCGCCCTTCGAGGCCAGCCAC